TACCACCGTCCGCATGCGTCCTGAAAACCCAATTTGGCAGTTTCACCCACCCAGTACAGCGCTTCGTGGCCCCATACGGAGCTCCATCGAAGCCCCCAGTGGGAACGCCCGCATGCGTCCCGAAAATCAAATTTGGCATGTCCACCCACGCAGTACAGCGCTTCGTGGCCCCATACGGAGCTCCACCGAAGCCCCCAGTGGGAACGCCCGCATGCGTCCCGAAAATCCACTTTGGCATTTTCACCCACCCAGTACAGCGCTTCGTGGCCCCATACGGAGCTCCACCGAAGCCCCCCATGGGACCGCCCGCGTGCGTCCCGCACACCCAATTTGGCATGTCCACCCATCTAATACAGCGCTTCGTGGCCACACAGGGAGCTCCACCGAAGCCCCCAGTGGGACCGCCCGCAGGCGTCCCGAAAACCCAATTTGGCATTTTCACCCACCTAGTAGAGCGTTTCGTGGCCCCACAGGGAGCCCCACCGACGGCCCCAGTGGGACCGTCCGCATGCGTCCCACACACCAAACTTGGCATTGTTTCACCCACCCAGGACAACGTTCGTGGCCACATAGGGAGCTCCACCGAAGCCCCCAGTGGGACCGTCCGCATGCGTCACGCACGCTGAATTTGACATTTCCACCCACCCAGTACAGCGCTTCGTGGCCCCATAGGGAGCTCCAGCGATGGACGGCCCCAGTGCTACTGCCCGCATGCGTTCCCCCCCACCCAGTGCAGCGCTTCGTGGCCCCATAGGGAGCTTCACCGAAGAAAATATTCACAATTGCGGTACCCACAACTGCACATGGTTGGGCCCTTCGCCAGGATAGTTCTCCCGTCTCCTTCTGTCGGCCTTCCGCCACCTTTCGCCGATAAAGCCATGCAGTCTTCCCAGTCCCTGGAAGGCAGGACCCCTTCAACGTGTGCGTTCGGCCTCGGACACGCGTCACTGGGCGGACACACTCGACGTCGAAACAACCGACACCGACTTCTGTATGGCCTGCCGCCTCCCGAGGGCTCTCGGCTATGGTGTCCAAGGAGGAGACAAGCTCGCCCCGAGCCGCGAGGCTGGCCATGCCGACCCGGTGCCCGCAAGCCCAGGCACGGACAATATCTGGTACGGGCATAGCTGGTTCGTGCCGCGACGACTTGCGCACTGGTCTCTGACACCGGCTTGGTCCTTCAATTGAGGGATGGAAAAAACGACTTTCCCCTGGGTTACAAATGCGTGGTCTGTAAACCTCTTGGGAACCCCCAAAGCCTAGAGCCGCCAAGACGCGGCACATCACGCAGGGTTTACCCTGTCAGCCCACAGGAGTTTCAGCGCACAGCGCCTCGTAAACCAGGGTAGGGGCGTTTTTTATGCCTTTGATTCAACCTCGAACGACCGTGGCGTACCGAAAAACCTGGATCGCTCAATATCAGCTGGGCTCAAACTGCCAATCGCCTTCAATGTTGAACGTCCGCACTGGCGTCGCGGCCGCGTCGACACAACGCCACGAACCTCCCTACATTAACTCCGGAATCTGTGAGAGCCAGCGGGTCCATCTTACGTGCTGGGCGCCGCAGCCCCCCCAAAGCGTACCCTGGAGATCCCTGACAGCATTCCAGATCGCTCTGGAACGACTTGTCTTCATCCTGTTTGGAGCTGCCTGATTGACTGCATCGATGGAGCTCCTCCTTTGCGGGGGGACGATTGCGGGGGCCAACTCAGCGGGGAAATATCGAGCTTGAATCCGTGACACATCGCCGATAGGTCGGCGAGAGGCCCCCAATGGCAAGACCGCGGGTTCCTGGGAGCGGAAGCGGAAGCGGAAGCAGCGGTGCGGGTGTCGCCCGCGCCCGGGCCCGTGGAGGGCGGTCGGGCTCGCTGGAAAATCAAATGTGCAAGAGTCCGTCGACGTGGTGAAATCAGGAATGGCCTGGGGCCTGAAGTGACGAGCGACAACAAGAGCGGCAACATCTCTTATACCAAAACAAAACCTCACCCTGGCGGTTGTTGTGCAGTGAGATACTGCACGCGCACAGTGGCACTGGGAGGATCGGGCTAATCAGGCCCGCTGTCGGCGACGGATAGGCGTTTGGGGTCAATGCGCTCCCCCCTGAGCCTATCCCCCCTGTCGGCGCCCCCTGCATTTTGAGGCCTGAACTCCTCTCTCAGAAACGGCCATTCGGGACGCTTCGGGCGGAGCGCTCTCGGCGAGGCGCAGCCGCCAGAAAAGCTCCCCGAGGCTGAAGCGCGGACGAGAACGGACGAAAATGCCCGCGAACCTCGAGCCTCGAACCTCCACGTCGACACCTGCCCCCCTTGACCAAGAGGCCTCCCAGAGGGGGCCCGAGCAGGGTGGGGTCGGAGGACCGCACCGACTGGCCGATGCACCGCCGATGCATCGGCAGTGCATCGGCGACGTCGGCGGTGCATCGGCGACACCGACGCGGACGCGTCGGCGGTGCGGAGCAATCCTTCGACTCCACCTGCTCGGAGTCGCCCGACCGCGCGGAGTGCACCACTTCGGGGGCGGGCCTGCCGCCCCCCTCGGAACATCGCGCCACCGATCGCTGCTCCCACGCAGGATCGGCGGGGTCGGGGTCCAAAAACGCATGGGATTTGCCACATGTCTGAAATTCGGTGGCACCCCTCACGCAGATCTGCGGGGTCGGGGTCCAAAAACGCATGGGATTTGCCACATGTCTGAAATTCGGTGGCACCCCTCACGCAGATCTGCGGGGTCGGGGTCCAAAAACGCATGGGATTTGCCACATGTCTGAAATTCGGTGGCACCCCTCACGCAGATCGGCGGGGTCAGGGTCCAAAACACACAAAGGATTTGCCACATTTCTGAAATTCGGCGGCACCCCCCACGCAGATCGGCAGGGTCACGACGTCTTACCAATCGCCAGGTGTGGTAACCTCTCTGGTCATCTATTGGTTTTTGCTCATTACGAGTCGGCCTCGCATGAAGTTCCGATACTGCTTCACGACAGCGCCCAAGCCTCATGACATAGCTCTTGCATAGCGCATTCCCCGAGAGAGGGGGCCGGCGGCAGGGGGCGAAGCCCTTACGGATAAGCACCCCGACAAGCGAAGCCGTTTAGTAAACGCTCAGGGCCGTGTAGCAAACGCCAATTATCGGGGTCAAGGTGGCTTTTCCGTCCCTTGAGAAAAGCTGGAGGCACCCTGGGCCAGGTCGGGCGGAGGCCAGGACAACACCCGCCCGCATCCACGAGGATGGACGCCCGAAATGGGTACGGTAAGCCCAACAGCGAACGTCGTCCAACACTGACAAGAGCCGCTGTTGGGCAGGCGGCCTTCTGTCTCGCATGTTAGATGCTCGTTCTGGGGACCTTCCTGGAGCCACTCGCTCCACTCGTACGTCGAAGCTGCGTCGAACCTGCGTCGAACCTGAGTCGAACCTGAGTCGAACCTGAGTCGAATCTGAGTCGAACCTGAGTCGAACCTGAGTCGAACTTGAGTCGAACCTGAGTCGAACAGATCCATTAGGTGGCCCCCAAGAAGGTCCCCAAAACGAGCATCGAACGCATGGACTTCGCCCGTGGCGGCGCCGACAGCGGTTCCTGCTCAAAAGACGACAGATACTGATGTCGGTCTTCGTCAGACAGACCCTAGGCAAGAGTCACCTCAGGTGAGCAGCTTTAGGGGACCGCGGGGACGCCAAACCCAAGCGTGCAGGCCAGTGCTGGGGAAACCCCTGTGGGCCCGCACCAGAGGGCACTCCGGCGAAAGGCCACTCTTGCGCATAGCCGACCGGTTTCCATCGCAGATATCGTGCCGAGATGAGAGCGGCCCGGGCCCAGGAGTGGGGAAACCAAAGTGTACCGCCACCGCTACTCCCCGGACCCTGCGGTGCGTTCTGACCAGAACTCCGAGGCGAATCCAGCGGCGGCCACGAGGGCCTCCCAGGAAGGCCCGGGAAGGCGACGACGAGGCGAGGGCAGCGGCATTGGCATGCAGCTCCCTCCTCCGACGCAGGCGGGCCGGGGCGGAGCGGGGCCCCGCGGGCTTGTCCGCCATGCTGCCGGGCGGAGGGCCGCGGGCATGCGGGTGCTGCCGCGGGCCCACCCAGCGCAGCGGCGCGCAGGCCCGCGGCAGGGCGCTGGCCCGCGCAGGGGCGGGGGGGGGGTGGCTGGCGGGCCGCGCTCTCGGGCCGAGGGCGTGCGGGCGCGCGGGGGCGCAGCGGTGCTCGAGGGGCCCTTCCCAGGAAGCCGATGCTCCGAGAAGATTGGAGCGGCAAGGTCAGGGAGGAACAGCAAGGGCGACATGCTGCACGGCTACGTTACTCCGTGGCCACCAAGGTGGCTCGACTTTCCTCTGACTTGTTGCGCTTGCAGTTCTGCACGTGCCGTCAGCTGAAATCGTGTCGCGCGTCGCCTAGTCGTAACATTTTTTTGTTCCATCACCAAGCGAACGCAACAGCCTTGATGCTTGTGCTTGTCAAACGAAAATATGCAAGGGCGACATGCTGCACGGCCGAAGATATGAGCGGGGATTACGGTGGGATACGCTCACAGAACAGATGTGAAGATGTGAGGGGTGAGCATGTCGACAGAATACCTTCACCAACTAAGCCGATGCGGTAGACTCTTAAGTAAATGCGCACCGCGATCGCACACAGTCGGGCTGGCCCATAGCATGGGGGGGAACACCACAAAGACTCGGAACATTGCCTGGCCACAAGGCACGTGGCATGCGAACCGACCGTACATCATGAGCGTGCCTGCCGCCAACGACTACGAAGCACCATTCGCAACAAGGAGATAGTGCAATGTCTGCACACTGAATGTTTGTTAAGCAACAATGTTATCATACAATGTTGTACAACTGAGGTGTATGTATACAATTGTATGGGTAAGAACGGCATGGCAGTTATACGTGTACGTATATATATAAGAAGAGAGAGAGGGAAAAAAAAGAAAGAGCGAGGGGGGAAGCGAGAGAGAGAGAGAGATAAACATATAGAAAAATATATATAGATGTCAATGA